GAAAACATGATTGAGCAGGTTTTATGGTCAATGACAGGTTCGCCAGGTTTCATTTTTCATTTTTCTTTTGTCGCTCTTTCAACTAACAATTTCAGTTTGTCTCCTCTTTCATGGTATCTCCTATGCACAGAGGTGGAAATAACTTGGAAACGAATTCTCTAGGTCCAAAGGCATTTCACCCTCATGGTGACAGCCACAGGGATGCTGGCATCATCACACGCAAGACAAAACACATTTTTTCTTACATTCCAAGAGAACCATTTACTCTCTCCTTTTACCTCCTAAAATGCTGAAGCGGATTCCCCCGACCCTTTCTCTTTCTTTTTCTCTCCCTTCTTCCTTTCTTTCCTACTTTCTCTTTTCGTGGCCCAGCATATGAAGTCTTTCTGCTTTTGTCAATAATAACATCAATTTTTCCTTCCAGGAAGCACATTTCACAAACCCCACATGGCCCTAGTGCACTCTCAGTAGGAACTCTCCTCTTCCCCCACCCTCAAATACAGGAGTAAACTGTTGACTCGGGATGGACAGAGAATACCATGATGACTGGCTTTGAGATGTACATGTGACCTCAACTAGACCAGTGAGAATCTTTCCTAAAATTAAATAGATGAATGCTGGGACAGAAGGAGTCTCCTTCTTTCTCTGGAATCATATTTGAAAGATTACACAGGCCTAGCGCTTCCATAGGAAATTATTCTTCCACAAGGAAAGAGACCGCCCAAGACTAATGCTAGCATGCAGAAGAGAGCTAAGAGGTACGAAGAGAGACAGATCCCTGAAAATGTCACGTGAGCCTTTGACTCCTGCCATCTCTGAGGTTAGCTGTCACTAACAGAAGTTTAATCTAAATTTCTGTCATCCGAAACCAAGAAAATTCCAAGTACTAAAAACACACAGCCATTAGAACTGCCACCATGATATTTCCTTGTGCCATAATTGAGAACCTGTCTATCCACTTTTCTTAGATCACAACCTCTTAATAAAGACCACAGCATCCAGTAAAGTACCTTGCACAAGATAGGTATTCAGTGGATGAAGGACAGATGGATGGATGCATGGATGGTTGATCAACATTTGGAGTTCCAAAGGCACTTATAGGAAGTTGTGCTAGGATAGATTTTTCCTTTTCCATTTCAAAAAATTTAAGATATATAGCATTCCAATTAAGACACTAAAAACTAATATATAACCTTGTTGTTACCAACAAGCTTTAAAATAGAAAAAAAAAAGTAACCATTGGAGGAGAAGATAAAGCATCTATAGGTCTCTTCTACTTAATCCTCCCCCGCCCCCTGCAAAAAATGACAAAAATTTATGGTAAGAGTTGGGACACCCATCTTTAGAAAATAAATTTTAAAAAATAAGTAAGTGCTCTGCAGGAACAAAATTACACCAGAAAAAAATATTTTTAAAAGGACCCGCATAAACACTGTCCTCAGTTACATAAAAATGCAAAGTCCAAGATAGAAAGGCATCTCTCACACAAAGATCTTGGTTCTCCCTAATACCTGGGCCTGGCACTTAATAGATTTGCAGGAAGGATGCATTCCGTTATCTCCATCTACCACACACAGGAGGAAACATTTTAAGACTCCAACCTAATGCTCAAACAATTTTCAACATCAAGGGTTTTTATGAAATGTTTCAAATTATCTCACTTTAGATACATTTTTCCAAGATTTTCATTCCACTAACACTTTCAGTAGAAACCTCAGTGACCTCCTTCTTCTTAATTATCTCCAAATAAAAACTGCATTCCAGAAAGTCCTAAATTTTAATGCTTTTTTCATGCAACTGCAGCAAAAAAAGGTAAATAATGTGGGTAAGGTTTCCTTTGGGGTCACAATCAAAACTTCCAGAGAAGCCTGTCCACTCTTTACAGCTGAGCTAGCATGGTGGCTGTCACTGTTCAGAAAACATCAGCTCTCTGCCTGAATCCTCCATGCTTATGATGGGGGCTTGACACTCCTTACTCAATGTTTTTGGCACAAAGCATATTTCTTTAACATTTCTTTTACTTATTTATGCCCTTATTTTTATTTCATTTTTCATCAGACTTTTAATTTATAAACTCCTCAGTTGTACTCAAAAAAATACAACAAACTAGCATAAATAAAAAATGGAAAGCAAAGAAGAAAGAAAAGCAAGGGTAGAGACATCAACAGAGCTAGGAATTAGGTTTTAAAATGCATGTACTCGTTAGGAAAAAGCCACAAGCTTAATTCTAAGCTTTCTAGTCACCATCGTATAGTCAGTAGTAAATTCAGTGTTCACAAGATAAAAATAAGTCAGACATTAAGCAAAGCATAACTGTTCTTCAATCTAAGACTAGACAGGAGATATTGCTAAAAACCTCACAACCTCTTAATATGCATCACAGCATATAAAATTTGCAAAAGAACCATATGTAATTGGTTCTAAAATTGCAAAAGAACCATATGAAATTATGAAAAATGGTCACTAGAGAATACTCTTCCACTGTAGAGGCAGGAATGTTCTAAATAAATAATAATTTTTCTCTTGGTCAAAATGGAAAAAATAACACATTTTTCAAATCAAATCAAAATCAACAGATTTTGCAAATCAAAAGGTTGGCAAGTGTCCCCCCAGACGCCAAGAACTCCCCTTCATAAGTTGCCATCTTCAGAGATGCCCACAAGATAGCTGCTGATTATAAACTGATCATGAAATCTACCCCATAAGAAACTCTCCTTAGACTAGAAAGGAAGCCAATAAAGTTAGTAACAGACAATTCACACAGGGAAAACATCAATGGCTGAGAAACATATGAAAAGCTGCTCACCCCACAGGAATCTGAAATGCAAATTAAATAATGGCATACCATTCCTCTCCCACTATATTGACAAAATGTTTAAAGTCTAACAATATAAAACATTTCTGAGGATGTGGGGAGTTTCTCTTACATTGTTGGAAGGAGTGTAAAGTGGTATAACTACTTTGAAGAGCAGTTTGCCCATATCCTGGAAAATTACAAATTGGCATACTTTGTGGCCCAGCAATTCCATTTCCAGATATTCCCCTGAAAGAAATTCTCACGCATGCACACACACGGAGACATATACAAGAATATTCATTATATTTACAGTCAAAATCAAAAGTTGGGAAGAACCTAGGTATCCATCAATAAAGAAACCACTCAGCCATAAAAAAGATAAAGTATTGCCATTTTTGACAACATGGATGGATCTTGAGGGTATTATGCCAAGTGGAATAAATCAGACAGAAAGGACAAAAACCACATGATTTTCTCATATATGGAATATAAAATAAAAAAGTAACAAACGAACTAACAAAACAAAACCATAGACACAAACAGAATGGTGGTTACCAGAGGGGAAGGGGGATGGAGGAAGGAGAATTGAATAAAGGGGGTCAAATATATGGCAATCTAGAAGGAAACTAGATTTTGGGTGGTGAGCATGCAATAGAGTATACAGATACTGAATTATAATGTTTTACACCTGAAATCTTTATGTTATTAACCAATGTTACCTCAATAAATTTAACTTAAAAAAAGAGAAACAGAAAAAATAAGGTATATTATAAATATACAAGTTGGATTGAATCAGATCTTCATATTTGAGTAGAAAGAGATCTTCATTATAAATGAGAAAGAAAAATAACCCAAATTGCATACTAATATATACATATAAAACAATTTAGGCAAACTTTTAAATATACACAGAAAACAACCACACAATGTTCATAGTCAAGGACATATGTAAAGTATAAAAAGATTGTAAGCAAAGTCACCTTGGGAAAGAATGGATCTGGGACAGAGAAACTTAAAACTGTTCAAGTATTCTATTAAACTACTAATCTATTAAACTACTAAAGTATTTAATTAGAAAAAAACTTGTAACGAAAAAGACAAAAATGTTAAAGCATCAGTTCCGAATATAAACCATGAAGTTACTGTTATGTCCTTATATATATATTTTTTTTTCATTGTAAAGATTTATGAGGAAGGAAGGAAAGAAAAAGGAAAGGGAAGGAGGGAGGGAGGGAGAGGGAGAGGGAGGGAGGGAGAGAGAGAAGGAGACAAAGAAAGCCATAGTAGTGAAATGACTGCAGGGAAGCTGCACTCCAGGGCTTCTCAGTTACTCAGCGGACAAATATACCTGGGCTCAAGTCATAGTTTCCTAGATCACCCAAAAGGCAAAAGTCTAAAAGCCTTCTTCTGCTCCCTGCCCCAGAGCCTCTGGACAGGAACCAAAAGACTAAGGAACATGCTGGACTGCCCCCTACTGGTGATGTCCACATTCCTCTAGGAGGATCCCGACAACGCCAGGCCTTTGGAGTTCTCCCATCTCACTGCCACTGCTCAGAAGAGGGTCAGTGAGGAGAGGAAGTGCCAGGCCAGGGCAGACAAGGAAAAGACACACCGACAGGCAGTGTGGCAGGCT